GGACAAAATTCACTGGAGTTTAGAAGGAAAGAGAATCTCACAGAAAACCAGTAAAATTCTGACAGGACTAACAAGGTAAAGACAGGAAGGATGCTCTCAATGACTGGGGAGTCAGAGTTTAAGGGGACGGGGTAGGCTGTTTAGGACTAAGATGAGGAAATATTTCTTTTCTCAGAGACTAGTGAGCTTGAGGAATTGACTGCTGCACAAAACAGTTAAGGCCAAAACATTGAATTTTTCCAGGAAGCAGATAGATATACTTCTGAGGTCTAAAGGGAGCAAAGCATATGGGTCTAAAGTGGGAACAAGCTGAGTAGGATCATCAGCCATAATCACATTGAATAGCAGAACAGGATAAAATGCCACAATGACCCACTATCTGTTCCTGTTCCAATTTTCTATGTTTCTATTCTGTTAAAGATGGAATAGAAAAACAAAATGATTGTAACTGAAACAGATATCAGCACTACCTTATCACCACTGCATGAAAATCCTGTACCTCCTTACCAACCAGCAAACTGGGAGTAGCTTCACCACACAGACTGCAGAGTTCCGAGGAGGTCAAGGACATGCAGAGTGATTTTGGAAGCTTCTGGAATGGCTGATCTGTCTTTCGTTTTCTATCTAGTTCTCAAATTCTTGAATGTTCTGAGAAAACCAAAATAGTATGTAGCAAATAAGTAAATATTAATGGAAGTTTGCTGAAACTGTTTATATTCACTGCTGACTTAGAAATTAACATTTTATGTGCCTGTGAACAACTCATTATCCAAGGATAGCACAAATGCTTGGTACACATTGTTTAAGTGAACTGACAATTTATATTTATTCTGTTTTCTGTTTCAAATAAGCCTTAGCTGTGTTCTGTCAAATCAGTGAGAGTGGAGGTTCTGAACAAATAAGAATGTGGTTAAATCACATATTGAGTAGATTGGCTAGTTGATCAATTTTACTCATTATTGTTATTTCTTCTTTCTATAAACTCAGTGTCAAAGATCTGTTCTTCACAAAGTCTGGTTAGGAACATTTGGGCAATGTTGAGGGTCATTCAATATTTCAATTTCACTGTCTAACGAATCCAGTGACAGTGAGGCTGATTTGTTTTGGGTTGCTATCCTTGTGCTGTACCAGGTATTTCATGATCAATATTAGCACAGCAGCAGAAGTGAGCTCCAGTGCAGGACAAACAATTATTGACCATGGAGAGATAAAGCTGAGAAATCAGCAGCACGTAATGAGAGATGGGCAGCAACGGAAACCTCATTTAGACACACTGGGCAGAAATAACAACAATACCAAACAAAGTTCAAATAAACCCATAATTTGGAGGGGGAGTTGAAGTGGATGCGGAATGGCACAGGACGGGGGAGCAGTGACAGAAAGAATGGGTCAGTGATTTGCGGGGGGGGCTTGGGTAAAGAATGGTCTCGATTTCCAAATCCCCAACCCCACTCAGTTCTCTTCCTTCCACTGTCTGCTCTATTGTCTCAGCCTCTTTCACATTGGCAGCCAGCGTGACAAAAGTGTGCACACGGACACTTTTCCATCATTCGCAATCACTAGCGCATGCACAAGCATCTCCCAACAGCATACTGCACATACTTTTCAGTGAACATAGCAATGATTTCACCCAACAACCTTTGTTTTCAACCCATTCACACCAAAGACAGATAAACAGTTAAGGAATAAATGAAAAAAGTTAAAAAAAAAACTGATCACAGACAAGTTAAGCAGTTTCCATAATGCATTGTTTCATAGGTACATAGGATTGCCATATCTTTATGTTGTAGTATTATCACAATTGACTGTGCGCATGCTCCGGGACCCTGTCTGCCTGAAAACTACAAAAGCTGGAAATCACAACAGCTCAGGCAGCATCCGTGGAGAGAGAGCAAGCTAACATTTCCAGTCTAGAATAACTCTTCATCAGAGCTGAAGTGAATTCTGGGGTCGGCAGCACTTATGCAATGGTGTGGAGGTGGAGTGCTGGGCGAGAATGGGTGCTGTTAGAGCAGATTAAGTGATGGGAACGTGAGAATGGAAGAACAGCAGTGTGTTTAACTGCCAACCTCAAAAGAATACTAATTGATTGATTTGAATTTGTTGTCATGTATACTAAGTACAGTAAAAAGCTTTGTCAGCAGTACAGGCAGATCATATTAATCAAGGACACAAAGATCATAAGAGTAAAAAAAGCATTGACAGAGTAAGACATACAGGTTACACTGCACATACGTGTACTAGGCAAAAATCAGCATTATTTGAAGTTAGGAACTGGGAAAATGGGATGGAATTCTTCACCTACGTTGTACCTATTCTGATGATGCACCTTCCAACACTGCGCTGCTGATATGGACTCCTTCTTCCATAACCGCAGTTTCCCACCCACTGTGGTTGACAGGGCCCTCAACCACATCCAACCCCTCACCTGGGCTTCTGCCTTTGCCCCTTCCCATCACTCAACAGCGTGATCGGTTCCCCCTCACTTTTCATCCCAGCAGCCTCCACATTCAAAGCATTATTCTCTACCATTTCAGAGAGCTCCAACAGAATGCCACCACTGAACAAACCTTCCCCTCCCTCCCCATCTGCATTTCGCAATCACCAACACCTCCCCCACCAAGTAACCGCAGAATGTGCAACACCTGCCCCTTCACCTCCTCCCTGCTCACCATCCAAGAGCCTAAACAGTCTTTCCAAGTGAAGCAGAACTTCACCTGTACCTCTTCCAATATGGTCAATTGCATTTGTTGCACCCAATGTGGCCTACTCTACATTGCAGAAACCCAACACAGTCACTTTGCAGAACACCTGAAGTCCATGTGCAAGTGACCTCGACTTCCCTGTAGCCACTCATTTTAACAGTGTTCTGCTCACATACCCAATTGTCTGTCCCTGGCATACTGCAAATCCAGCACAAACTGGAGGAACAACATCTCACCTTCAGAATGGGCACTTCATAATCATCTGGGCTCAATATTGAGTTCAACACCTTCAGAGTGTGAACCCACTCCCATTCCTTCCCTTTCTTTTAGCTATGTTATCTTTGCCATGTCCTCTCTCTCCCCTCCCCCTAATCCAAGGGGACCATCTGATTTTTTTAGTCTGGCAGTTAGACACACCATTGTTCTGCCTTTCTCACATTCCAATCACTTAATCTGCTCTATCAACACCCTTTCTCCCCCAGCACTCCACCACCTCCTCACTTTAGCAGAAGTGCTGCCCCCCGACTCCCCCACTCCCACCCCTAACCCCCGACTCCCCCATTCCCAGTGTTCATTTCAGCTCAGAAGACTCATCTAGACTCAAATTGTTAGCTTGCTGTCCCTCCATGGATGTTGCCTGACCCGCTCTGATTCCAGCATGTTTTTTCCGAACAGATTCTGAGGAGTCAGTTAAAGCATGGAATCTGTTTGAGGCAGTTTGTGCCCAGTCACAGATACCTGGGAGTAAGTTCCAGACTAAAACCTATTCAAGGGGATTGGGGTAACTTTTATGAAGAATAACATATCCCAAAGTGAGTTGGAGACTAGAATGAGGGGATCAGAAGTGATCTATAGGTAGAATGCCAGATCACAGGAGTGAGATACAGACTGGAATCTAATTGAAGGGTTCTGGATGGTATATCTACAGAGTCACAGATACGTGGGAGTGAGATACAGACTAGAAACTATTCAAAGGGTTTTGGATGGCTTTTATATAGAACAGACACTCAGGAGTGTAACTTACAGGTTGGAATCTTATTGAGGTGTTCAGGGTAGTTTTTATGCAGAATAACATATACACTGGAGTGAGTAGAAACTGGAATCTAATCAGAGTTTGGATCGTTTAAAAATTGGGGGCAAAATTTACATGTAAGATTTGGGGAGTGTGTTTGAACGAGACAAAAATGAGAAAGAGTGGCAGCACAAAATGTGGGGTGGGTGTAAATTGGGAATTGGCAGCAATATGGGGCAGGGACAATTTTTGGGTGAACATCAAAAATTTGGAGGGCAGGTGAGTGCCAAAATTTTGGGGCATGATTAAACTTGGAAAAATACTGGGGGGATGGGGCTGCAAATTATGGGGGGGGGGGGGGCAAAACTGGGGGTCTCAGGCATAATTGGGGTGGATGCAACATTTAGGGAGGAGCATAATTTGCATGGACATACTTTGTGGCAGGCCTGCAAAACCTGGGGGGCATTAAAAGAATGTGGAGTTGGGGAGAATTGCATAATATGGTGGGGCGCTGGAAATGGGGGGAGTGCAATATCTTGGCAGTCAATATTTGGGATCCAAAATTTTGCAGGAGCTCAGAACTTGGGTGTGTGCAAAATTTTGGGGAAGATGTGAAATTTTTTGAGGGGTCTCAGTAAAAGAGTGGGTGTTGTATAATTGGGGACAGGTGAAGACATGGTGGAGGGGCAAAATGAGGCAGTGCATAATAGGGGCAAAGTTGTGAGGGCTGAAAGATGGCATAATATCAGGGAGTATAAAGCTGGACGGGTGGGCACAAAACTGGGGATCTGATAAAATCCAGGGGCAAAATTTTCGGGGAACAAACATCTGGATGGGAGGGGCATATAACTGGTGTCCATTTTAGGGGGAATTCAAATCGTGGGGAGGTACGAAATTTGTGAGAGGGCGCAATATTGGGAGAGTACAAAATTTGTTGGGTAACAAAACTTGGGAGAGGACTACACAATTTTGGAGTTGCGTAATTTGTCAGAAGGTTGCAAAACCAAGCAAGGGGCTGTAGAGAGACTAAGGGAGGGGGAATAAAAAGAGGGGAAGAAACTAAGGTGGGAAAGAAGAGGGACAAAAACAAAAAGAGGTAAGAGAAATACAAAAGAACAAGAAACAGAGAAGCAGATAATGTAAGGGAGAGGGAATAAAAGAGAGAAAGACAAGCAGGGAGGGCGGTAGGAAAAACCAAGGTCAGGGAGAGACTGGGGAAGGGATACTCGCCGTTCCGGTTGGTCCCCCTCTCCCTGTATGCACGCGCACACTCTGATACTCACTTCCTGCTCTGTCCACATGGCAAAAGGAACTGTGGCTGCCAGGACCTACTTTAAAAACCTTCAGGTCTGTCACTCAAAGGCTCCTCTCCACCCAAATCTCAACGCATCCAGTCAGCTCCTAGTTCTCTCTACCTGGAGCATACCTCCCCCAGGTATGGAGCTCACCAAGAGACAACTTGTGAGATTAAAGGGGGGAGGGAGGAGGTGTGAGAGAAAGCTGCAGCTCAATAGTTTAGTCCTGACTGCCCAACTATCCCTCTCCTCCCCCGCCTCACACCCTCTGACCCCAGACTTAAAACCCACACAGACAAAGCTGCAGCTTCAAACCAGCAGCAAGCACAATACAAGGTCATTTAGACCACGGAACACAGGTTTCTGGAACCAATGAACACAAATTTATTCCACAAGGGAACGCAGGATTTACAAACACATAAACAGAAGGTGAGAGTGGGACTGAAATGTAAAAGTCAGCAAGTTTACTTTTAATGAGTTTCAGTGAATTCTACAAATGAATCAATCCATTTTACAACGAATGGTCATTACACAGATCTCTTGTGGAAATTAACGAGTTTATTGTATAAGTGAAGACGGGAATAACACAGTATGGAGCTGGAGGGTCACAGCAGGTCAGGCAGCATCAGAGGAACAGGAACGTTGATGTTTTGGGTCGGGACCCTTCTTTAAAAATGGGTAGGGGGAAGGGAACTGGGAAATAAATAGAGAGGAGGGATGGGGCTGGGGAAGTTAGGTGGGGAAGTGATAGGTGAGTGCAGTAGGGAGTGGTGGGAATTGGTCAGTGGCATTGCAGGGGCAGATAGGTTTAGAGAAGATGGGCAGGTTGTGTCAGGTCAAGGAGGCAGGGATGAGAGGGAGGCTTGGAGATTGGATGAGGAGATTTTAAAACTGGTGCATTCCATGTTTAGTCCATTGGGCTGTAGGCTCCCAGGCGGAATATGAGGTATTGCTCATCCAGTTTGCTGGTGGTATCATTGTTACACTGGAGGAGGCCCAGGATAGACACGTCACTAAGGGAGTGGGAGGGGGAGTTAAAATGGTTGGTGTCAGGAAGGTGATGTCTCCACAGGACGGTCTCCGAGTCTATACTTGGTTTCACCAAAATTCGGCAGGGGCTGGGGAACATGGATTGGGAGCAGCTGTTTGAGGGTAAATCCACATTTGATATGTGGGAGGCTTTTAAAGAGAGGTTGATTAGAGTGCAGGACAGACATGTCCCTGTGAAAATGAAGGATAGAAAGGGCAAGATTAGGGAACTATGGATGACAGGTGAAATTATGAGACTAGCAAAGAAGAAAAAGGAAGCATACATAAGGTCCAGGCGACTGAAAACAGACGAAGCTTTGGAAGAATGTCGGGAAAGTAAGACCAATCTGAAACGAGGAATTAAGAGGGCTAAAAGTGATCATGAAATATATTTAGCAAACAGGCTTAAGGAAAATCCCAAAGCCTTTTATTCGTAAGGAGCAAGAGGGTAACTAGAGAAAGGGTTGGCCCACTCAAGGACACAGGAGGGAAGTTATGCAAGGAGTCAGAGAAAATGAGTGAGATTCACCGAGGAGAGGGACATGACAGATGTTGAGTCTGGGGATAGAGATTTGATTACTCTAGGTCAAGTCGGCATAAGGAGGGGGGGGACGTCTTGGGTATTCTAAAAGGCATTAGGGTGGACAAGTCCCCATGTCAGGATGGGATCTATCTCAGGTTACTGAGGGAAGCGAGAGAGGAAGTAGCTGGGGCCTTAACAGATATCTTTGCAGCATCCTTGAGCAGGGGTGAGGTCCCGGAGTACTGGAGAATTGCTAATGTTGTCCCCTTGTTTAAGAAGGGTAGCAAGGATAATCCAGGTAATTATAGACCAGTGAGCCTGACGTCAGTGGTGGGGAAGCTGCAGGAGAAGATACTGAGGGATAGGATCTATTTACATTTGGAAGAAAATGGGCTTATTAGTGGTAGGCAGGATGGTTTTGTGCAGGGAAGGTCATTTCTTACCAACTTGATAGAATTCTTTGAGGAAGTGACAAAGTTGATAGATGAGGGAAGGGCTGTGGATGTCATATACATGGACTTCAGTAAGGCGTTTGATAAGGTTCCCCATGGTAGGCTGACGGAGAAAGTGAAGTCGCATGGGGTCCAGGGTGTACTACCTAGATGGATAGAGAACTGCCTCGGCAACAGGAGGCAGAGAGTTGTAGTGGAAGGCAGTTTCTCAAAATGGAGAACTGTGACCAGTGGTCTTCCACAGGGATCCGTGTTGGGACCACTGTTGTTTCTGATATACATAAATGACGTGGAGGAAGGTATAGATGGTCTGATTAGCAAGCTTGCAGATGACACTAAGATTGGTGGAGTAGCAGATAGTGAAGGGGACTGTCGGAGAATGCAGCAGAATATAGATAGATTGGAGAGTTGGTCAGAGAAATGGCAGATGGAGTTCAATCCAGGCAAATGCGAGGTGATGCATTTCGGAAGATCCAATTCAAGAGCAAACTATACGGTAAATGGAAAAGGCCTGGGGAAAATTGATGCACAGAGAGATCTGGGTGTTCAGGTCCAGTGTATCCTGAAGGTGGCAATGCAGGTCGATAGAGTGGTCAAGAAGGCATACGGCATGCTTTCATTCATCGGACGGGATATTGAGTAGAAGAGTTGGCAGATCATGTTGCAGTTGTATAGAACTTTGGTTCGACCACATTTGGAATACTGCGTACAGTTCTGGTCGCCACATTACCAAAAGGATGTGGATGTTTTGGAGAGGGTGCAGAGGAGGTTCACCAGGTTGTTGCCTGGTATGGAGGGCGCTAGCTATGAGGAGAGGTTGAGTAGATTAGGATTATTTACATTAGAAAGATGGAGGTTGAGGAGGAACCTGATTGAGGTCTACAAAATCATGAGAGGTGTAGACAGTGTGGATAGCAAGAAGCTTTTTCCCAGAGTGGGGAACTCAATTACTAGGGATCACGATTTCAAGGTGAGAGGGGAAAAGTTTAAGAGAGATATGCGTGGAAAGTTCTTTACGCAGAGGGTGATGGGTGCCTGGAACGTGTTGCCAGCGGAGGTGGTAGAGGCAGGCACGATAGCGTCATTTAAGATGTGTCCAGACAGATACATGAATGGGCAGGGAGCAGAGGGATACAGATCCTTGGAAAATAGGCGACAGGTTTAGATAGAGGATCTGGATCGGCGCAGGCTTGGAGGGCCGAAGGGCCTGTTCCTGTGCTGTAATTTTCTTTGTTCTTTGTTCTTTTTCTTTATTCTCACCGATGTAGAGGAGCCCACATCGGGAGCAGCGAATACAGTAGACGGATGTGCAGGTGAACCTCTGTCTGTTATGGAGGTTTGTTTTGTGCCTTGAATGGAGGTGAGGGGGGAGGCGTAGGAGCAGGTGTAGGACTTCCTGCAGTTTCAGGCAAGGTGCCAGGGTTGGTGAGGTTATTGGGGAATGTGGAGCGGCGGGACAGTTGCTATTTGAGTTTATTATCCCGCTTCATCCACCATCCCGCCCCTCGCTACTCCAGTGGTATCGTTATTGAGCTGCAGTTCATTACCTTTTGCAGAAACAGACCTCAATGAACATGGTTCAATCATCGATTAAGAAAAAAACCAAAACGAAGTAACACAGCTCCATAGCAGGTAGGACTTGAAACCAGGGCTTCTGGAGAGTGGGAGGGACATTATGAAGGCAGGACACATTGAGAGAGCAGTGAGCAAGACACAAGGAACTTTAAACTTCAAAAATCGAGATATCGATAGTAAAGTCGGGGAAAAGATTTTTAAAAAGCTCTCTTTAGGACCGAACTGGAGTCCATTTCCAGTACCATGATTCAAACGTATGAGTTTTTGACAGGTTTCGGTCAGGTACAGAAATAAAAACCTTGTTTCCATTCTGTGATGGTTTATTAGCAAACAAGGGATGGGGCTGGAGGATCGAGCCGGACGTACTGATCCCCCACCCAATCAGAGAGGGCGACAGGCGGGGCGTGCATACCGACCAATCAGAAAGTGGCAAGTCTGAAGCTTCAACCTATCGGAGCGAACGGGGGCGGGGTTAGTTCTCCAACCAATCGGTGAGAGAGAAGGCGGGTCTGGAACTGTGGCTGGAGTGTGCTGCAGATAATGTGCTCTGGCCTGAGGACAAAGAACAGGTTTCGGTCTAGATCATCAATTCCAACCAGATATCACAGCAAGATCTAACATCCACCAGCATTCACTATCACCGGCCTTTCACCATGCAAGGTAAAGGGTTTGTCTATCCTGTCTGTGAGAGAATATTTCCGAGATCAGTGTCACTGGAAAAGCTCCGAGAAATTCGAAATCGTGTGCAGAGCAGCGCCAGAGGATCTGTCTGGCTACCATTGTTGAGGAAGGGGTGACTGGACTTTCCTTGGGGAGGCAGAGCAGACTTACCGTAATGTTTCCTGGACTCAAAGGTTATATTATGAGTAGCGGTTGCAAAAATCAGTCTCAGATTCGTTATGGCACAGAAAGGAGTAATTTAGCCTCTTTCATCAGTGCCAACTTTCTGTACAGAAATGCAGTCTCACTAACTCCCCTGCAACCACCCCAAAGACCTGATAGTTTATTTCCCTTAAATGTTTATTTAATTTTCTTCGTTATGTCGTTGATTCTCTTTGTTTCCGTTCGTAAAGAGAGAGGACTGTGTACTACCGCTTTTTCTGGGGGAAAAATGACCTTTACTTCCCCCGTAACTGTTGTTGCTGAAAGAGCTCAGTTGGGAATTTATTAGCTTGAAGACATAAAGGTTCCTAGTTCAATCCCACGTTTGGTGGTTCAGTTATTAGCACTGCTGCCCCATGGGTGCCAAGAACCTGGATTTGGTTCCAGCCCCAGGTGAATACCTGTGTGGAGTTTGCACATTCTCCCAGTGTCTGTATGGGTTTCTGCCAGGTGCTGGAGTTTTCTCCCATGGTCCAAAGACGTGCAGGTTAGGTGGATTGGCTGTGCTAAAATTTGGCCTGTAGTATCCAGGGATGTGCAGT